CACCAGACGCTGCACCAGGATTGACAACTAGGGCGTAACTCCATAGTCTCCCGAGACTGAAGGATGCCTACTACTACTATATATATATATATATATATATATATATATATATATATATATATATATATATATATATATATATATATATATATATATAAAACAAAACATACAAAAAATAATAGAGGTGGTAGGAGAAGAAAAGATTAAAGTCTTCAGTGAGAATCCACAAGGTCTTCTCTGAATACTTTTTATTTTCTTCTTCGATGTTGTGGGTCCCACCAATTGCACCAGAGGTGGTACCCCCTATATATATATATATATATATATATATATATATATATATATATATATATATATATATATATATATATATATATATATACATACATCACCCTCTCTGCCGGCACGGCAGGAGCCGCAGCGACACACAGAGAAAAACAAAAGTCAGTCAAGTACAGGCAATTAGATCAAAGGTACAATTTCGTTCCAATAGGGTCTGAGACCCTAGGCCCATGGGGTGAGAGTGCAAGAAGGTTTCTTAAGGATCTTGGTTCCAAGCTCATTGACACCACAAGAGACCCTAGAGCAGCAAGTTTTCTCTTTCAGCGCCTCAGTGTCGCGATCCAGAGGGAAATGCCCGCTGCATCCTCGGTTCCTGCCCGGCGTCGGAGGAGTTCGAGGAAATCTACAGCCTCTAGGAAGCGAACTTTTTCTTGTGTCCTCTTAATGTTCATTTTTTGTATTAAATCAGATATGTAACTATATATATATATATATATATATATATATATATATATATATATATATATATATATATATATATATATATATATATATTTTAATATTCATACTCGTGAAACCCTGCTGGCCTTGGAAGGCGTCTCTGGAAGCCGGCAGGATCATGTCAGGATTAACTTTAGTTCATCAAGGATGGTGGTGTTGGGGGGAAAAAAGTGCTTTCCACACTGCCAGTACTCGTGGGTCAACTCCAAGGGTGAAGGAGTGAGGTCACTGGGGTTATTATTACAGCCCGAGTGAGGGCATCGTCGCTCTTATATCCGCAACTCCTTTTTTCCCACCTTCTGAGGTAATCACACACAGAGATCACACTAACCCTTTTACCCTGTCGTAGCTCAGTCGATTAAGGCAGTGTCTGGGATGCTCCCGGACGTAGGTTCGAATCCTCGTCACGGACCATGTGGATTTGTTCTGAGGTAAGCTCAGCCTCACTGAAGTACTCACATTAGAGGTAAGGCGTTGTTAAGCTACCTGTTTGTTATCGAACCTGAACTAGCAAGGTTATTATCTAGCTTTTTATCATCTTTCCTCCTGGGACGACTTGGTTGAGACGCTGAAGACTCCTTGTTTGGTTCATTACAACTATCTTCCTCGTACCTCTCAGCTGCTGTACAAAGGGAGGATCACACACTATATATGCTGAGAAGAAGTATCAGTAGGAGATGTGAGGCCCAAGTGTCGTAATTACTCTGAGGAAGTCTCCTAATTGGTCTCATGTACTCTGACGTCTAAAAGATTCAAGTATATCTGCTGGTTGGTCAGTAAACATGTTGATACAGCCCTTAAGCGCAACTCTAAACCAAGGACACAAAGTTAACCATTGCTCAAGCACCAGCCTTGGTTCCAACGTCGCGGGTTCGCTGCGGTACCCGTCCTGCGAGACGCTGTTTTGAAAGTAAAAGTCTCTCAGAGCTGAGGTTTACAACACGCTTCATCCTCAGCCACACACCACTACCCTCATCTGCCCAATCCTTGGCTTCTAATCACCTGCCATAAACCGATGATCGTACATTGTTTACCGGCGTATACAAGCTATTTGTGTTGTCTTTTTTCCTGTAAAACTTTCATTGAATACGAGAATCATCCAGGAATCATTTACAGGCTTCGTCCCTGTAAATGATTCGTCCCTGTAAATGATACACAAACGTACTCTACTCCCTGGTAGAGTACGTTGTGTGCGGCCTCGCTGCTTCAGCTCCGGCGGTCTTGCCTTGTTACAAAAAATATGTCGATTTTAAGCCAATGGAATCTGAGTATTTACAAAAAATTCAACACTTGCGTTGAGCTCACTCGCTGACGTGTGCAACCTTGGGAGGAGGAGGAGGAAGAAGAAGAAGTAGGAAGAGAAAGAGAAACAGAAGAGTGTGGGGAAGAGGGGGAAAGGGTATGGAGGAAAAGGAAGGGAAAGTGGAGAAGATGAGGGCAGTGAAGAAGCGGGAAACCGGAAGACAGAAGAGCGGAGGCAGGATGTGGTAGCGAAGATGAGAGAAGGTGAGAGAGAGTGACTAACAGACATCCTAGCGTGAGCTGAACCTGATAAGCCTACACGGAACAGACAATCCTATACGAAACACCCTCTCTCCCCCCCGCCCCCCTTACCAAGCCCACAACAAGGGACCCCAATTGCCGAATGAGTCATTTTCCTTACAACAAAACGTAGCCAAGAACAAAACAATCATTCGAGGACACTATTTCTACCCCCCCTCCCCTTGCCACAATGTCTTTTCAGGTCAAAGGTCAGCCAGCTCCCAGGAGCCGAACTCGGGGAATCGAGCCTTGCTCAGCGGCCCAGGGAAAAACACTGTCTTAAACCTGCGCTGTTGTCTGTGTGTGATCATTGGTTCTGAGAAACTGCCGCTGATTAATGTCAGCTATTGTCTAAATGATTACAAACGCTGCCATTTTGTACGAATTACCTGGTAGGTGTTCAAGTGTGAGTTGTGGCATTGAGCACCAGGGCGTGCTCACCTGAGAGTGCTTAACTTGACTGCGGTGAAGTATGGCGTGGCTCTATAGACCATACGCAACAGGTAGAGTATGTTGGCAACGGGTAGAGTACGTTGGCAACGGGTAGAGTACGTTGGCAACGGGTAGAGTACGTTGGCAACGGGTAGAGTACGTTGACAACAGGTAGAGTACGAACAGTAATTTAACAGTTAAACGGATAAAAAAAATCAAACAATTGGGCAGGAGGCAGGGCTTAAAGAGTTGGGCCATACCTCCCTGTAGTGATGATGAGGCAGGCACTGTGAGGCAGGTACTGTGAGGTAGGCACAGTGAGGTAAGCGCCCAGGACTGTGAACTTATAAACAAGATATAGAGATCACTTGCCTTCCTCGGCAGGGGCGCCCTGACCTCGAACCACTATACCGACCAGGGCACCCGCTTCAACACAACAACTTTTTTGAGTGACACCAATTTTTCTTGTGTTGGCAACGAGTTAGAGGTTGTGAGCGGCGCCTGAACTGGTTGTGCTCGGTCACCACCAGCCATGTGTGTGTGTGTGTGTGTGTGTGTGTGTGTGTGTGTGTGTGTGTGTGTGTGTCACCACTGGTCACCACCACCCATGTGTGTGTGTGTGTGTCACCACTGGCCACCACCACACACTAGTTGGTGACCTTTGTTTGAGAGCCTGGTGAAGGGCCGTGGGAAGTGTGTGTGTGTGTGTGTGTGTGTGTGTGTGTGTGTGTGTGTGTGTGTGTGTGTGTGTGTGTGTGTGTGTGTGTGTGTGTGTGTGTGTGTGTGTGTGTGTGTGTACTCATCTAGTTGAGTTTACAAGGTCGAGCATCTGCTCCTAGTCCATATAGGCCTCTCGACCATCAATAATTCAAGGGGTGGCCATCTTGGCATTTACCCTAATAAATTATTTACAACTAATAATTCACAACACCATTTTCTCTGAAAGTTATCACTCATTCAGTATAACCTCATTCAACTCAGTTTCTCTCAGCCACTGACTTATTCATCACTGGCTACTCCTACTTTTCCAGAAAAAATACATTTCATTACAAGGAAAGACAACTTAAGAATGGATGATATCTAGACAATGGTGATAACACACTGGATAGCAGGATATGCAGGATAACAGAGAAACTACTCACAGAGATGAAATTGGATTCCAATTGAAGTCACATTGATTTTATCTGAGATCGATGTTATATGAGATCAATATTACGTGAGATCGATGTTATATGAGATCAATATTACATGATATCGATGTTATATGAGATCAATATTACATGATATCGATGTTATATGAGATCATATTACATGATATCGATGTTATATGAGATCAATATTACATGATATCGATGTTATAAAATCACTCCCAAATCTTTTGATTGATTTTAAGCCAGAATAGTTCCTGAATCTGTTGATATATAATACTGAGAGCGTGTAAATATCTACAGCGTCATGAAATGATTAGTTTATATTACTTCTACTGCTAATTTGGCCCCACATCCTAATTTTATGATAGAAATTTACCCAATACATGTCTTGCCGCTCTAATGGTAAACCTAACTTTGTCTTGAGAATATATTACCTCTCAAATTGTGAGCTAAGTGTCACTTACAAGATACGTAAAGTGTAAGTGTAGTTAAGACTGTTCTACGCCTGTCTAATCCAGTCAGTATTGTGATGATTGATGTAAGTTGTTAAGAATAAAGTTTTGTGGTGCTGTTAAAGACAATCTGTGTGTATCTATGTATTTACGTATGTAGGTTAGCTTAGTATTTTAAAAGCACCGAATCACCTTCTGTGGTTGATTGTTCAATAAACCCCTTGAACTATATGTTTAACACATCTTTCATCCTGTCCATGGAGGACAGAAGAAAATGTACATATGCTGGTTAGTATTGTAAATGCCTGGCCACGTTTGTGGTAGAAAATAATAGGAAAAAAAGACAATGTCTGTGTGCTAATTGGGACACAATTGTGTAGTTAATGTAAAATATAATGCAGACTCTCTCGATTATATATGTACAGCCATTTATGGGCACAGTCTTTGATTTGATATGATTTGAGGTCACAAGAGTTCACACACGCGTCCCAGCCACTAAGGGCCGCAGGCACCAGGACGCCCCCAGCCGCAGGAGCCGCAGGTTACAGATGAACGTTTCCCAGCGCCGCCACTAGAGGGAGGAGGAACGGGGGAAGGGAGGGAGGGTCAGGTACCGATCCCAGGCCAAGGTGACGGCGAGGGGAGCCAGTCAGTGCCTTGTGAGGCGTCGCGGGAGAAAGGCGGATTCTTACTCCGTCTCCGAACTCCAGTCCCACGACTGGAAGCAACGCACCACTTCGCGGGTTAAGTCGTCCAGGATCGCCTTGACTCAGTGACGCCTTGATAGCCTTAAGGCTCGGCGCTTAACCGCTTAGGCTAATTGTTTTCTCCGGGAAGCATATACAAGAGATACTTCGGAAGTGCAGGAAAGTGTGGATTGAGAAGAGATTTTTTGTTATTTTGTTGGAACTCAGTTTGTAGTGGCCAAGGACGGGGTGGAGGTTGTGGTATAGCGCCACGTGTGTGTGTGTGGAGTGGGTGAACTAGTGTGAAACACCTGAGCAGGGAACTATAGTGCCAGAGTGAAAATCAGCGAGTATATTTGTTGTTGAGGGCGCGTCTCTCAGCGCTCTGGCGAAGGAAGGAAGAGGGATCTCCACGTCTGTGGTTGGTGGTAAGTGTTGTGGAGGGCCTTGATGTGTGTGTGTGTGCGTGTGTGTGTGTGTGTGTGTGTGTGTACTCACCTAGTTGTGCTTGCAGGATCGAGCATTGACTCTTGGATCCCGCCTTTCCAGCTATCGGTTGTTTACAGCATGACTCCTGTCCCATTTCCCTATCATACCTGGTTTTAAGAGTATGAATAGTATTTGCTTCCACAACCTGTTCCCCAAGTGCATTCCATTTTTCCACTACCCTCACGCTAAAAGAAATCTTCCTAACATCTCTGTGACTCATCTGAGTTTCCAGCTTCCACCCATGTCCCCTCGTTCTGTTACTATTCCGTGTGAACATTTCATCTATGTCCACTCTGTCAATCCCCCTCAGTATTTTATACGTTCCTATCATATCCCTCCCTCTCCCTTCGTTTCTCTAGTGTCGTAAGGTTCAATTCCATCAGACGCTCTTCATATCCCATCCCTCGTAACTCTGGAACAAGCCTCGTCGCAAACTTCTGAACCTTTTCCAGTTTCCTTATGTGTTTCTTCAGGTGGGGGCTCCATGATGGCGTGGCATACTCTAAGACTGGCCTCACGTTGGCAGTGTAAATTAAGCGCCCTAAATGCCTCCTTGCTTAGGTTTGTAAATGATGTTCTAACTTTTGCCAGTGTAGAGTACGCTGCTGTCGTTATCCTATTTATATGCGTGGATCAACGCACATATGCGCTGATCCACAGTTCCCTGAGAGGTCAGATCTTACGACTGAGACACTCTAACACACTTGTAGTTAACAACTATGTTAACTACATACCATAAATGATACCATCCTCGTTTACCTTCTATCCAAACAAACTCATTCCACCTCCTCTCTCATGAAACACAACCCTCCCCCCCCCACCACCCCCAGGGTAGTCAGACTCCAACAAGCACGCCCGCACGCCCGCGAGCCCGCACGCCCGCGCGCCCGCACATGTGTCGACATGAGGTCAAAGGTTAATTTTCCTCCTGTCACGATTTTTACCAACAGCCATTCTGCATTCTTCTGGATGTAAACATTTGTCTTATACATCAGATTGTATAATATATTCACCCTCCATGGCAACGCCTGTGGTGACTGTCCTGGTGACTGTGGGAGTGGTGACTGTCCTATGTATACCGACAAGCTGTATACATAGAAGCACAAGCCGTATTCAAATTATGAAAGGAGAAACTGTATACATATAGCTACAAGCAAATATGCATATGAATACAAGCTGTATATAGTGCCGGTACAAGCTTATGTATGACTAGTGTAGCTGTGACTCACCATACGGCCAAAATACACAGGCTGGTCGGTATTTACGTCCCAAGATTGTATAAATATACAACAATACATTGTAAACATACAACAATTCTTGGTAGAGTCTTGCTTTTTTGCCACGTGGTTAAGGTATATAGGCTGTTGTATTGTATAGGATCAACCAGGTGGGTGGGGTTATAGGTGTATGTTTAATACCAGGTCTTGTATGGCACTGTTGGTGTGGGGAGGGACCTTGTATGGCACTGTTGGTGTGGGGAGGGGTCTTGTATGGCACTGTTGGTGTGGGGAGGGGTCTTGTATGGCACTGTTGGTGTGTGGGGGTCTTGTATGGCACTGTTGGTGTGGGGAGGGGTCTTGTATGGCACTGTTGGTGTGTGGGGGGGTCTTGTATGGCACTGTTGGTGTGTGGGGGGGTCTTGTATGGCACTGTTGGTGTGGGGAGGGGTCTTGTATGGCACTGTTGGTGTGAAGAGGGGTCTTGTATGGCACTGTTGGTGTGGGGAGGGGTCTTGTATGGTACTGTTGGTGTGGGGAGGGGTCTTGTATGGCACTGTTGGTGTGTGGGGGGGTCTTGTATGGCACTGTTGGTGTGGGGGGGGGTCTTGTATGGCACTGTTGGTGTGGGGAGGGGTCTTGTATGACACTGTTGGTGTGTGGGGTCTTGTATGGCACTGTTGGTGTGGGGGGGGTCTTGTATGGCACTGTTGGTGTGGGGAGGGGTCTTGTATGGCACTGTTGGTGTGGGGGGGTCTTGTATGGCACTGTTGGTGTGGGGGGGGGTCTTGTATGGCACTGTTGGTGTGGGGGGGGTCTTGTATGGCACTGTTGGTGTGGGGGGGTCTTGTATGGCACTGTTGGTGTGGGGAGGGGTCTTGTATGGCACTGTTGGTGTGGGGAGGGGTCTTGTATGGCACTGTTGGTGTGGGGAGGGGTCTTGTATGGCACTGTTGGTGTGGGGAGGGGTCTTGTATGGCACTGTTGGTGTGGGGAGGGTCTTGAATGACACTGTTGACTTGGCCTACCCAGCCTACCTGTCCCACACTCAGCCTCCTCTTCGGTCAAGGTCTTTTGAAGAGACATGAATCTTAGTAAATTGTATTTTCTCCTTCGAAGATCTTGACTTAGACGCTTACTTAACACATCACAACTGACATCAGGACATCACGTGGCGCGTGTCAAGCCTTGACAGTGCCACACTGTCAACAAATAACCCCGCTATAAGCGACTGACTGACAGCAGGTGGATGTATATACACCTATTCTCTAGACGAGACTAGTTACCCCTCACAACACTATAACCGGCTTTCACTTTAGAATGTTGATATAATTCACGTTTTTTTTTAATTTTTTCTTTGATATTTAAAGGAAAGAATCGATTTTGATCAATGCGAAATTTGATCGCCAGACTGGATAACATCTTTCTCAGATGCTCACTCTCTTCCCGCTGGTGGGGATGCTGCGAGCGTCACTCTAAGATGCTCCCTGTCATCCCGTTGGTCTAGCCTAAACACTTGAGCATCATCCTGTGTTGACAAGTTCGAGATATGCAACAAAGCCTCAATTCATTCTTAACACGTAGAAGTGAACATCAGATAAGTCTTACCTCTAGACTCGAAACCCCTGAGAGAGAGAGAGAGAGAGAGAGAGAGAGAGAGAGAGAGAGAGAGAGAGAGAGAGAGAGAGAGAGAGAGAGAGAGGGAGAGGGAGAGGGAGAGAGAGAGAGAGAGAGAGAGAGAGAGAGAGAGAGAGAGAGAGAGAGAGAGAGAGAGAGAGAGAGAGAGAGAGAGAGAGAGAGAGAGAGAGAGAGAGAGAGAGAGAATAGAGACACATATACCTTGCGGTACCTTGCGACGCCCCCAGGGAACACAGGCTCCAGCATGACCTGGTTCCCTCCGGCAAGGTCCACCCACACACGTGTTTCCAAACACAATTGCGTATATGGCGTAACGACGTGGGAATAACCTAAATGATCATTACCTGGAACGTAATACCGGCGCAAACTATCAATTAGCCTATAGCCTGATTCCCCAACCACTAAAGGTCGGTACATGGAATACGTTCATTTCAGCACGGTTAAAGATTTTTCTAATGCATCTCATTTTTACCGGATTGGTCCATTTCGTCAAAGATGCGGAGGTCGTGGCACTCCCTACAGACAAGGGTTGCCACCGTTGGCACCCCCTCACACGCGTTGCCAGCCGTGGCACTGAAGAACCATCGTGGAAGTGGCAAGGGTCAAAGGTCATCTTGAACGGGTCATGTTTGGCAAGACTGAAGAATGCAATAATAAACGTTAGTTGGGTTAGGCTGGCAGACCAGAGGCGGCCGGATGAGGCGGTCCACCAGCGCCCACAGCATGGGTACGCGACCCACCACCGCCCACAGCATGGGTACGCGACCCACCACCGCCCACAGCATGGGTACGCGACCCACCACCGCCCACAGCATGGGTACGCGACCCACCACCGCCCACAGCATGGGTACGCGACCCACCACCGCCCACAGCATGGGTACGCGAGCCACCACCGCCCACAGCATGGGTAAGCGACCCACCACCGCCCACAGCATGGGTATGCGACCCACCACCGCCCACAGCATGGGTACGCGACCCACCACCGCCCACAGCATGGGTACGCGACCCACCACCGCTGACAGCATGGGTACGCGAGCCACCAGCGCCCACAGCATGGGTACGCGACCCACCACCGCCCACAGCATGGGTACGCGACCCACCACCGCCCACAGCATGGGTACGCGACCCACCACCGCCCACAGCATGGGTACGCGACCCACCACCGCCCACAGCATGGGTACGCGACCCACCACCGCCCACGGACTGGGCGGAGTGCCATGATAAACAACAAAACCACCGTCCCAGGAACAATGGCACTGTCTAGGAGGGACAAATGGTGTTGGAGTGGTTATAAACGATCAGTCAAGGGTTCGGATCCTCCCTGTGACACTACGGCCCTCTTGGGTTACAGGATGCCACTGACGAGGGTATAGGAAGCTACACCACTGTGATATATAAGGCTGAAAATGGCATCTTTCTCCTTGGGGACTTTGGTCTTTTCAGTGTCGTGGGTGGCTGAGTGGTATGGCAGTTTGTTGATAGGGTCGTCCAGTGGGGCTGTTGCAACGACTCTGGTACACATATTTAGGCTGCTTCCTGCTGCTGCTGCTGCTGCTGCTGCTGCTCCTGCTGCTGCTGCTGCTGCTGCTGCTAATGCTGCTGCTGCTCCTGCTGCTGCTGCTGCTGCTGCTAATGCTGCTGCTGCTCCTGCTGCTGCTGCTGCTGCTGCTGCTAATGCTGCTGCTGCTCCTGCTGCTGCTGCTGCTCCTGCTGCTGCTCTTGCTGCTGCTGCTGCTCCTGTTGCTGTTGCTGCTGCTGCTGCTGCTGCTCCTGCGGTTCTGCTTTTCTTGCCGTACCTGCGTTTGCTGTTGTCGCTGGTGCTGTCGGGTTTCTGCTGCTTTTGTATTGATGCTGTTGTAGCTGTAACTGTTAATGCTTCTTAAATTATTGCTGTTGTGTTTTTGCTGCTGCTGCTGCTGCTGTAATTGTTGCTGCTGCTGTAGTGGCTGCTGCTGTACTCTCCGTGTACTACCTGCTGTAAGGCGCTGGTGGTGGCAGACAGCAAGGTGACATGTGGGTGATTTGGTTGACAGGACGGTGTGGTTGACAGGACGTTGTGGTTGACAGGAGGGTGTGGTTGACAG